AATATTCAGTTGACTTCCACATCTCCCGTGCTCTTTATTTTTCTGACGGCTTCTCCTGGATGGGAAGCACGGGAAAATCCCAACTGCAGAACAGAGCAAAGAGCCAGGAACCACTGCAGCCACTGACCCAGAGCCAACTTTGGGGTGTTTTTGTTTAAAACACAACTTTTAGAGTGCTGTAAGAATAAATATATATTCTAAACCCTCTAACACTTACTAGAGGTCTAAAAGAAAGCCGAGTTGGAAATAGGAAGTGCATATCCAAAGGGAAAGCCGGAGCACAGGGAGGCAGCCTGCCCTTCCTTGGCTGCACCTCTCCCTTTCTTGGCTGCAAGGAGCAGCAAGGAAGTGATTATAAAGCATTTATTTGCAAAATCACAGCCAATAAATCCAAGAGCAACAACACCCTCCCCTCACACCGCTCGGTCCTTGGCTGGGGGGGAAATGAAGGAGAGCTCTAGGTCTGACCAGCAGGCAGGTGCATGGCAGGAGATCTTTGCTCCAAAGATTTTTGGGAAGAACTCAAGGCTGTGAAATGGAATATTCAGCCAGGCTGTCCCTTACCTCTGCTGCTTTGAAGGCCTAGAAAATAAAAAACCTTAGAAAGGCAGCGATGGTTGTGGAATGAAAATGCCTGAAAAGGTTAAAAAAAAAAAAAAAAAAGACTGGGCTGTTGAATGAGGAAATGAGTAAGGGAGAGCAAGAGAAAATAAAATGGTACAGAAAAAGCCATCTAAATTCTCCTCCCCTTTCCTGGATACAAATACCATCACAAGAAAACCGTAGGAAGCGAATCTGACTGCTTTGAAAAGCACTGAGGTCAAAAGCCCGACAGAAGAAAGGAAAAAGGATTAAACAAAGGGATGATATAATCTATCCAGCTATAATTCAAACCTTCGAGGTATAAATAGCTCCACTACAGGGCTCGAGTCAACCACTAATTTACACTGCAATCAGGAGGGGGAGGCACATACCCATCCCCACAAGCAGATTAATCCTTAATTGCTCATTTTTGCATTTCTGACACCTTTCTTTTGAAGTACCAAAGCTGGTACCGTTTCACAAAAGGCGCTGGTGAGCCTGAAAATTGGTGAGATGAGCCTGGCTGCTGCTTGTTCCAGGCCCATGCACAGCCCCAGATGCTTTTGTGGGTCCTCCTTGCAAAGAAGAAAGGAGATGGCTCCAATCCATGGGGATAAGAGAGGATCAAAGCCAGCATTTGCCAGTTTGACACAAAGGGAAGCAGGACTCGTGTTTCACAATGTTTTTCCAAGGCCTTAATTGCAGATAAATACTTACTGGGATATTCAAATACATGTGAGCACTTCAATCACTTCAGAGGCTCTGTAAATCCCTCTAGGAATACGGGTAAGGATGGGGTGGGTGGTGTGAGATAAGAGCAGCAGGATCAGCAGGATCATCAGCTGGTGGCTTTCAGAAAGGGACACCCAACCCCTTCTCCTCTGTTGTGTCCTTCCCTCTTGACTCATCTCCATCCACGGGAGGAAGGCAATGCCAGTGATGGAAAGGGTTTTAGGGGAGAAATTAATTCATTCTTCACCACAATGTCAAGTTCTGAAGTTCGGTTCAAGAGCAGATCCTTTCCTGTTCCCGTGTGCATCCTGCATTGCCAGGTGGAACTGCTGTGTCCAGACACCCCCTGCATGTGTCTCGTGGGTTAATTAAATTAATTAACCACCCTGCCCCTGTTAATGACCCTCACTGCATCCCAGCCTCTCTGAACTGAATGAAAGTGGCATCCTAGGAGCAGAATCACAGAATGGTTTGGGTTGGAAGGGACCTTAAAAACCATCCAGTTCCAACCCCATCCATTATCAGGGACACCTTCCACCATCCCAGGCTGCTCCAAGCCCCATCCAACCCAGCCTTGGACATTTCCAGGGATCCAGGGGCAGCCACAGCTTCTCTGGGCACTCCCCACCCTCACAGGGAACAATTCCTTCCCAGTATCCCATCCAACCCTGCCCTCTGGCAGTGGGAAGCCGTTCCCCCTTGTCCTGGCACTCCATCCTTTGCTCCAGGTCCCTCTCCAGCTCTCCTGGAGCCTCTTCAGGCACTGAATCCCCTCTTCCCTGCTGCCCACAATGTGGGATCAGCCCAGGGAATGGCCAGGGCATGTCCAGCCTTTCATCCACCAACATCCCCAAAGCATTCAGGGCTGCCATATCCCTGCTATTTTTTTTTTTTTGCAGGTGAGATACAGCATCCCATATAAAAATTCCTATCCTGTAACACATCAGACTTTGTTTAGACAACAACTTTCTCCTAACACCATCTCATCAGTCACCAACCTCTGCTCACAAGACTTTTGGCTTATTCCTTTTGGGAAGCATCCAGCTTGATCCCAACCATCAGAGGTGGGGTTTTTTTGTGTCCCAGTGGGTTATTTCATTAGGATGTGCACCTGGAAAACTTATTCCAGGCTGAGTGTGCAGCTAGTGGGAAGAAAGACTTCTTGATGATGCATTTTCCTACCAAAATAGAAGCAGCATCTTTAAACACAAACAGATTTCAGCTTCCAGCATGGCAGTCCTGGGGCAGGAGACTGAACCAGCTTTAACTACTGAAGTCACACAGGGAAGAATTTGTGGGGGGAAAAAAAAAAAGAAAAAAAAAAGAGAAAAGTGTGTGGTTTCTGTATTTCAGCAGCAATGTGCTCCAGATGGATTAAATGCCATGTAGGCTGGTGAGAAAAAAAAAACCCAACAACTTTGCTCCTCCCTCGAAACAGAAGGTGGGACAATTCACATCAAAACTGGTTCAAGCACAAAGCAAAAGTCACCAAATGCTTCAAAAGCAGCAAATTGTACCAAATTCAGATGTTAAAACATCACTGGGGAAAAAAAACCCACAACACCCTGTGGTATGAAACTCTGAAAATGTATGTTAAAAATTGTGTAACAGAGAATTTTTCCATATTTTTGCTCCCAAGAATAAAGACTGGGATAAATCAACAGCTGAAAGGGCTGAAAGTCATCTTGCTGTGAGCCTTTGTTAATAAAAATCAGAGTGTGGATGAAATCATTCAAGCTGAAAGGAAGAGCAAATGTTTTAAAAGGTATTTTCCTCTGCAAAGGAAAAATCTGCCTCACGGTAAAGAGAAGCAGCAAATCAGTTCACAACATTTCCTTCCTTTTGTGACAGGGAAAATGTATTAAAACTAAGATTGGAAAGGAAATAAAGTCATTTCATTACAAGCAAGACATGAAGCACCCAGGAAGGATTTCTTTAAATCCCAGGGTTGCCCCCATGAGATGAGAAAGGAGGGATGCCCAGGGCACAGTGTGGGGACCAAAGGTGAGGCTGAGCATCCTGCTGATCCTCTGCATCCCATCACTTAACCAGCATTTCCAATTTCCAACCTCTTACAGATTCATCATGGACTTCAGCAAACTGACAGCCCTTCCAAAAGCCCAGAAACAGCCACTTTAAAAACAATGGAAACTCCTGAACACCTGCCTGAGGGATGGAAAAAAAACAGTGTCTAGCAGATATTATCTTTTTTTTATTATTATTTAAGGGCAAATAAAATTGAAGTGGGGAGTAGATGTTTTAAAGCAGTTAATGCAGAGCTGGGTTGCCAGCCAACATCTCACTAAAACATCTTCCCAAATGGTACATTTCAGGATTCAAAGCACATAAAAATAAAGAAATAGATATTAAATAGGCTTTGATCAAGCCTCTGGCTGCTTGGGAAAAGGGCTTTTAACAGATTCACCCCCGAAGCAAAACAGTAGCTGGGAATAATCCTCCATGCCTCAAAACCAGTGCCATACTGGGCTTCCCATTTTGTTTTTGTGCTGTGGACACCTGTGAGCATCCCTGGTGAAATATTTGGGGGTGGTTTCAATGCTGCTCATGGCACCTGAGCTGGGTGGAGCACAGCAGCAGCTGAGGAGCAGAAAATTCATTTTGTGTGACCTGTCATTTGAGCAAACAAATCCCCATCCTGCCCAAGGCGTGCCTGAGCTCCGGGACAGCCAAACTCAGCCTCTGGTAGCTCTGGGAGGAGGTGGAGCAGCACCACAATGGGGGTGTTGAGGTCTTCTTCAGGGAGATGCAGGACCAGGGCTCTTCCTTCCTTCCCCAGCAGCCTTTGAAGATGTGGTGAGCTGGCAGCAGCGTGGCTGGAGGTGCTGATCCACCACAGCTGGAGTTTCAGGTTGGTTTTTCTGGCAGTAAATGATGTCTGTAAGGGACACCTGCTCTGGCAGTGCTCAAGCAGAACCCTTGTCCTCTCTGCTGAGTGCTCATTCCAAGACAGACCAGGAAGAAAAAAATCCAGGTGACACCAGCCTTTGTGGGGAACCCCAGGTGTTTCAGCCGTTCCAGGGGCTCCCTGCACGTCCCAGTTTGGGGGAGCACTGAAGGGCAGAGCTGAACTCTTCCAAATCATTTCATTTTGGCTCAGATTTAACTCCTTCCCTCCAGACCCCTCACACTGTTCTTGGTCACCACCTGCAATTTTGAGCTCATCTTTGGGATGAAGGCAGGGAGACACTGAACATCCCAAACATCCCAGCAAGCGCCTGCTGAATTCCCATCGCTTCCACACCCCTGAGTCCTCTTACACGGATTAAAACACCACCACAACGTGAACCCTGACCAACTTCTCTCCTGAAAAAACCCAACTCAGCTTCCCCATTACTCCACCACCTTTCTGCTGTTTAATCTCTGGTGCCATTTCCCCCTCCTGCAGAGCTCTCACCTCCCCACAAATTTTCACTGCAAGGAGGAACCTTAAATAACTAAAGCCAAATGGGATGCAGCTGCAGAGACCTCCCTGCTCAGTCCACCTGTATCTCAAAACCTCAGATGTCAGGACATTCACTCATTTGGGGGGAGAAACAACAACATTTCATCCTCCAAACTAGTTTGTCTCAAATACAGAGTTTTTTGCAAAATCACGGCCTTGTTCACATGATGTTGTTGATTTTGCAAGCTGGTCTGGTGGGAGGTGTCCCTGCACATGGCAAGGGGTTGGATTAAATGGTCTTTAAGGTCTCTTTCAGCCCAAAATATTTTATGGTTCTGTGATTCTCTAACTTCTCCACCCCCTTGTACAAGGCTGGAAGCAGCCCATACTCATATTTTTGGTTTGCTTTTTCATTTTTCATTATTTTATTTTATTTTATTTTTAAAATTAAGGACCAGGTCTAGCTGAATTTTAAACCAGCAGACTTCCTCTAGAGCGACAGAAGTTTGACCTTGTACTTCCTCAAAGCTCAGCCCAAGGTAAGACCTGAGGTTGCCAAGAACCTGCTGAGTGAGGTGCAGCCAAGCTGGGCACCTTCCACGGAGGAAAAGAAGCCATAAAGAGGTAAAACACAGCTTTATTGTAGTATAAACTCCATCTGTATTTGAAATGTTTCACTTTAAAGAGCTTCTCCCCTCCCTCCAGCTCTGCAAAGAGAGAATTGCTCACCAAGGCACACAAACCACATCAAATTGAAGCAGAACCTGGCCAAGCAGCTCAGACACAGCCCCCATCTCACAAATGCTCTCTGCAGCAGCAAAACTATGGATTACAGTGTTTCCTTTCCCAAATATTGTACATTTTACCTGGTACACCACCCAACTTACACGCTGGGCAGAAACAGCTGGGTAAGAGAGGACAGGAGAGGAAGGGAAAATATCTTGCATATGGATGGGCACCTATAAAATGCATTAAAAATCAAGTTTGGGAGTTAAAATCCCTCAGCAATGGTCAGCCATAATCCAGTTTCTCTCTAAAGCTTTCCTCCTTTTTGGATCTCCCTCCAGATTCCCCAAGCAATAATTTACCTCCTTCCCCAGCGAGCTCATCCCTTGGCTCCACAGGTACCAACTGTGCCCTCTCTCACCCCAAGTGCTGTTATATTTTGATGAAGCTCAGAGCAACTGGTGGAGTTTGTATGACAAATATCACATTTTGTGTCAGAACTGGAGGATTTACGCATCAGGAGCTTGTCTGGCTTCTCCCCACCTGCAGCCGTTTACCTGCTGCCAGGTATCACTTCCCATGAAATGCACCCACCTTAGGCCACCACAGCCCTTGGAAATACACAAAATAATTACTTTTTCCAGCCTGCCTTATCTCCCTGTGGACATCCACATACAAAAATCCCCAACCTAAATATCTGCTTGCCCTCAGAATGACTCTGTGTGAAAAGGGGAACAGGTCCCTGACCGAGCACCGGAGGTTCTGCACCACAAGGAGATTGTCCAATGCATCACAAATCCATCCAACCACCAGCTGGAGCTGTGAGGGGTCCACGTGTCCCTTGCCAAATTCCTGTGTAATTTTCCATTCTTTCTTCTTAATCAGTGCATAATCCAAGGAAGATTTGTATAGCAGTATTAAAGGAAAAGTCGCTGGTGCAGGGAGAGGAAAACATCGGTGACGGTGCCAGCCTGAGAGGGGATTTCCATGCTTTGCTCTTGGAAAGGCCTGATAAGATGGATATATTTGTTTTAGCTTTCAGCAAGGAACCTCAAGGATTTGGATTACAAAATGCCTAAAAAACGTCACGAGAACTGAGTTCTGGAAAAGGAGATAGGAGAAGTTAATGGTGTTAGCAAGCACTGACCTGGCTAATCCCATTGCTGACCTGTGTCTGGCTGGGCAAACGTGTTCCTGAAACCTGGATGTGGTTTATAGCACGTGGTCTTGGGGCAAGACAGTGCAATTCCAATTGTTCCAATTGGGTGCAGTTCCAGGATTTTGTGGATTTTGGTTTGTATCAGCTGGGACCAGATGTTCTCCTCTGCCCCCTCCACCTCCAGTGTCCTCTCTGTGAAAAAATGTCACCAAAGCAGCTGCACTTGTGTTTTACCTCAAACCCAAAGCACATCTGATTGAATTACCTCTTCTTTTCTGTTGGATCTTAAAGACAATTTAGTTCCACACTGCTGCCATGGGCAGAGACACTTTCCACTAAACCAGGTTGCTCCAAACCCCATCCAACCTTGAGCAGTTCCAGGGATGGGGCAGCAGATCTGCCCAAAATGAAGGATCTTGTTTTACTGAAAACATGGATCAACTCAACCCTCCCACTGGACCAACTACAATCGAAGCAGGGATGTGTTTGGAGACACCAACATGAAAAAGATTTGCTCCTATAGGTGCAGGCCCACCAGAGCCAGCAGTAGCTGTGCTTAGCTGCAATTAACTAAATTAGCACGGCTTGATCTCAGTGGAGACAAGTGGTTGAGGAAGCCCTTAAACCTAGCAAGCAAACACCACTAAAAGCCTACACTGACTGCAGCTGCAACCCTCCTGAAAGCTGAACCTGTGGTTGCTACAACCTGGCAACGTATTTTTGAGGCAACCACCCCTTTGGTGCAGTTTCCTATCTGTTTAGGCAACAGGTACATCAGTTGCTTTTTTCAGGACTGAATTTCAATAAAAATCTCATGTCTCAGAAGGATGTGAGAGCAGTTGATGTCTGTGCACTGATAGTTATGCCTAATTAACATAAAAATGAGGTTTTCCTAATCACCTGCAAGAGGAAACCTGCTTACAGAACAAGCTACTGGGGAAAAAAAAAAATAATAATTACTCCTTAGGGAGGCAGTTGTCAGATATAAGGTGGAGGGTGGATGTGTTTATTTATACCAGCAGCTCCAGGTAGGGGCTGCAGGTCCTGACACGCTGCCTGGTGTGGTTTCTGCAAGGAGTTTTCTCCTTCCTGTCCCCATTCCACGCTCAGCTCCAACCGCCCAGTGCTGGAGGTGTGTGCTGGGAATGATGGTTTGCACTCTGTACAGAGTCCCTGCAAATCCCAGGGTATTTTTTAGGATGCAGCAGGCCAGGTCAGCTCACCTCAGTGGTATCAAATTTCATGCAGAAGTTTGAAGCTTCACAGGAAAGAGGTGGGGAGAAGTGCCAGTGGGATTTAGGAGCACCACTCACTTGTGATTTCTGGTCTCTGGGCAAACTCTGTGTCTCCAAAACATACTCCAAGGATCAGCCTGCACATCCCAAAATGGGAGAGCAAGCTTTAAAGGCTTCAGAAGCACTGCAGTTGGTGGTGGCTTTGACTGACACTGCAAATCTGAGTCGGGGAAAAATCACTTTATGCCTTGGCCAGTCAAAGCAGAATCCACCAGGATGAAGAAGTGCAGGGCTGGGATGAGTCCTGACCCACCACCTCCTGAACTCCATCTCATGAAGTTTGGTCACAACTGCACGTGCCTGGGGAGAAGATGAAGCTGTGGCACTTTTCTGAGGAGCAATCCTTGAGGGAGAGGCTGTGGCACTGTGACCAGCCGGTGCTGGCGGGTACCCCAGGAAGGGAGCAGCAGCAGCACCCCGGTGATAAATGAAGCTTCAAGTTACTGCGAGAACAAACACCAGAGGAAGGAGCCAACCACAATTACTCACTTATCTCGCAGGAAAGACATTTCAGTTATTGTGGGTAGCACCGAAAACAACAGCTCGGTGACGGGCGCTGCTGGAACCGGTGGAGGAAACCGCACGTGTCGAGCTCTTCTGCAAATCCACAGGGCACGTCAGCGCGGCTCCCACCTCCCAAAAACTGCTGCCAGCACAGCTAGAGGAGGATATGGATGGTGCAGAGCTCGTGGAAGGCTTTGGATGGGCTTTGTTGAAACAAGAGCTGTGGTTTTAGTGTTCTCCTCTCAGAAACGTGGCAGTGGTGTCATGGGACTGTCCTCTCCACACCCCGATGGCCTCTGCCCTCCTGAGCAGCTCTGGCAGTGCTTTGCACACTCAGATACAGCTTGGCACGACACCACCTCTCCATCACACTGAGCACCTTGCTCTGGCTGCTTCCAACACACAGCGCTGCTCTTCCCAACCCAGGACCTCACAAATGGTGGGAGCACCGATGCTCCGCCTGTTCTACCCCCAGCACCTGCCCCTGATGCTCTGGGGGGCAGAAGTTCTCCCAGTTTTCCTTATCAAAGCAAATTTTTTGGAAAAGAAATACATTACACAAAGTATTGTAGATGAACATCTCAACTTTTCTGCTCTCTACAAAAAGGAAGTAAGAGAATCAGAAGCAAATTTTTTAATGCTATCAGATTTAGTCAAGTTTAGTGAGGACACCAGATTTAGCATCAATGTAGAATTTAGAATGAAACAAAAAACTTGATTTTGTACATGAAACCTGAAGTCGCCCAAAATTCCAGTAATTCTTTCCTCGCTCTTTCTATTCCTATGAAACACCATAATTTTAAATATTGGATAATTTGAGTCTGCAGCTTGAAGGTTTCTCCAAAACACCAGCTCTTTTTGGAGACAGACTGATGTCACTGTAGCTCATTTGCTTAATTAGTGATTTACAGAAAGATGTTTCTAGGAGAAGGGGGAAACCCTTCAAATGAAAAGCTCCAAGTGCAGAATCAAGAGACCATCCCCAATGACTGTTTACTCCCATCTTGTACATAATTTTGGGCCACACTGTATCAATCAGCAGCTGTGACTGATGCCATTCCACTTCCAAAATATAAAATAAATATAAATATAAATATAAATATAAATATAAATATAAATATAAATATAAATATAAACTCTGCAAGAGGCCAAGCACAACTGCCCTGAGTTTTTCCTAACAGGAGGACGTTGCTTTTACAAAATCGCGCTGGGACGAGAAGTCAGCGCACAGGATGAACGCACGAATCCTGGCGTTGTCACACAACCCTGAAGGAGTTTTCCCCTTATTTCAGCACTTTGTTTTTATCACTGCAGCCTTCCTTCCCCCAAGCACTTGGCTTTTGCTGACCGCTGCACCCCGTCACACAAATCCTTCTCCAAAGGGGCGCTCGGGTACGGCGGAGCGCGCGGAGAGGGCTCGCACAGATGCGCGCGTTGCAAGAAACAATAATTCATGCAAATCCCTGCTCCAAGCAAATTCCACAGCAGTGCATCTTATCACAAGCCAAACAAAAAGTAGGAATACACTGGAGAATGGTAAACCCAGTGTTCAAAGAATTTGCTCTTGTTGCAGCTTGAATTTCCCCCCCTCTCCTTCCAACAACTCTCTGCCGACACCAAAAACCGACCAGCCATTAATCAGAAGTGAAAACCCAAACGGTGAGAGGAAGCAAAGCCTCTGTTACAGAAGATATTTGGGAGTCTCTGTGGTGACTCCTAAAGGGGTGAAGACCCTCTTTGCTTCAGGAAGAGGAGGCAGAGACCAGCAGTGACCATTTCACCCTTCTGATGGTGCCTCCAGGCACAACCAACCCAGCAAGGAAAGAACCCAGATATTAAAGCAGCACGAAAAGTAATTATAAATCCATTTAAATCTGCTCACATTTGTGTTTGCTTCTCCAAGTTTGTACAACAGTTTACTGCTTGTAAATCAGGGATTTTCCTCTGTTTCATCAATCAAGAATTGAGCACTCTCTTGCCACATTTGGAGATAGACCAGCTTTCCACAGAAGCTCAAGACGATGAAAATAAACGAATAAAATGTATTTTTAGTTCGAGTTTTTTTTCTTTTTTTTTTTTTTGAGATGGCAAGTTAGAACCTGAATTCCAACCCAACCACTGGGTTTCAGCAGAACAAAAAAATCCCTGTGCTGAATGCTCTCAAATAAGAGTCATGTCCCTTCCAACTCCACACCAACAGAGACCTTATTATCCTTTGGGGGAGGAAGTCAGATTTTTTTCCACTTAGTTACGTTCCCAGGTAGTTCTTAAATAAGATTTCCCTTCCCTCTGTGTTTAAAGGGACACTTTAGCACAAGTTACTGCTTGGCCATAGGGCCATCACTGTGTGCTGAAACCCAAAATAGAGCCACGACCATCAGGGCCACTGGCCAAGACGATTTTATTTCATTTATTTTATGCCCAAATTAACAGCACCTCTTCCTACCTTAATTATCATCGGTCAATTGTCCACCTGCATGTCATTAGGAGCCCATAAAGGTTCTTCCAGTGCTGCCCCCTGGAAACAAACAAACAAACAAACCTTTTAGAGCCAGAGAGTTAAAATACAGCAACATCTTAGTGAAACAACGTTTTTACTGCTGCCAGCTTGCCAATTCCACTTCATTTTACCAGATGCAAAATGCAGTTTTTCATTATTGCTCAAGCCACAGACACACTCGAAAACATGAAAATAACTTTTAAATACAGAAAGTGAAATTGGGAATTTCCAGGGTTAAAAGCACTTTTGGGAAGAGGTGGCAGGAGGGAATTACAGGGCAGCAGCAGCAGATGTTACAGATGAAGGGACTCTGATATTCCCAGCTTGGCCTGATACATGCACTGCTGTTTGGGTAAAAGCAAATAAAGCTTAGGAGGGTCCAGAGCTAGAGGAAATAGATAATTTCTATTGTAGTGAGGGCACCACAATCACTTTGGGCTCTTCTGAGGGTGTATTTCTGAGGGTGTATTTACAGACAGAAGTAGTTTGAGCACTGGGAAAAGCAGTTTTTTTGTGTGTTCATTTACTCCCACCCCAAGGGAAGAGACAGAAAGCCACATGGAGGTCACCAGGATTTCTGGTGTACCTGTGGGACAGCACCAGCAACTTCCTCAAGCCCAAACCTCTCTGAATACAGATTCTGGCTGTAGGATCCAGTGTGACCCTGTAAGGAACAGGCTGGAGGCTGCAGACCTGCAGGGATGTTTGTGATGTTCTCACACTCTTGCACAAACCATCTCCCCAGCAGCTCTTGGGTTTGGATTCCTGGCTCCACCAGCACAGCCACACCACAGGGGCTCGCAGCTCACTTGCCATGTCCACACTGCTCCTGGCTGTTCCCCACTTTTACATGACTCCACTCCCTGCATCTCAGCTCCCCTTCCCAAAATATTTTTTATATATAATATTTACCCACATCAGCTCTGAGGCAGCAGCAGGGCTCCTTGCAGGAGGCTGCAGAGCCAACCCCCAACTAATCCCATCTTCTGGGTTGCAGCTATGAAATACAGAATTAGAGACCCGAGGCACTTCTAGATTTTAAGTTTAATACATTTAAACCAATTTTTTAAATTTTTTTTTTTCCCTACTGACATCTTCCCTGCCCAGCCTTGGGCAGGATGCGACCCAGCCATCTGTTCCATCGGTGCCAGGAGCTGTGGAGCTCAGACATAATCCCTGGGTGATCTCCTCATTGTTTTTCATCCTGCTCAAGTGTTGACTCGAGCACTTGTTCAATTAGACAAGTCTCAGCACTGCAATCAGATGGGCGAACGGGGCTGATTTTCTACCTCCACAGAGAAGAAAAAACCTGATTTAGCCGAGTGTGATAGAACTGGGAGCTTCAAAGCAACGAGACCTGGAGATCACGGCTGCTCTGAAGTCTGAACCCGAGCAGACCACCAGCAACTTCCACTCTAAGAGAAGCTGTGAGACAGAGCAGATTAAAAGACATTGGATCTGCCAGGGAGGAGGAGAGCTGGGTTATTTTCCTGATACTTCTTCTTTGAGGGAACTGGAGAAGAGCTGAGGCATCTGCTTTCTCTTGTCTCTGGCTCCAAGTGAGTGACCCCAGATGTGCCAGACTCGCTGATATTCCCACACAAACACAAAATTGCGTTTTCTTCCTTACGATCCAGCGTTTCCCAGGAATCAGAGGGGTCTGAGGGCTACAAGAATCCAGTCCAGCCTTCAGCCTGTCCTCTCCTCCCTGCCATCCTTTGGTTAGCTCCCTGCATTTAAACAAAGCCATACATTTTGTGGGACCAGAGTCAGGAAGTTGGCATGAGCAAATGTGCTGTCAATATTTTCATGGTCAATTTATTCCTTCATTCACAAGGCTGACAGATTCCAAACTCAGCTTTGGATGGTGCCAAGTGCAGGAAAATCACAGGATTATGGAAGGGACCTCTGGAGATGATCAAGCTCAGTGTCCCTGCCATGGACAACCCCAGGTTGCTCCAAACCTGTCCAACCTGGCCTTGGACATTTCCAGGGATGGGAAGTGCACAATCTCTCTGGGTAACCAGAGAGGTAACCAAATGTAAATGGAAACATAACCTCAACAATTGCATGGAACCTGTTGGCTAGTTATTATGAAGAGTTGCCCTTTCATTTTATATTTTAATATAATTAATGTTTAAATTATGATATTGTTTTGGTTTTATGTTTGAGAAATAATATAGTAAGTAGTGATATTCAGATAATTATAGGGTTAATTTTAATTTTTTTAATTTATTTTGGAAATATTTAAGGTAATTTAATTAGTTTTAGTTTTGTTTCTTTTTTAGGTTTTTTTTATTAGTTACTAGAGATAGAGTTTTAAGAACTCTTCTCCAAAAATGAAAACGGAAGATCAACTTTATAAAAATTTTCCAGGATTGATCTGTATAACATTAACTTATATTAGATGACAACTGGTAACCTGTGCTACAGCCAAGAATTTCTTCCTAATATCCCATCTAAATCTATTCTCCTACAGCTTACACTCATTCCCCCCATATCCCATCACTCCATGCTCTTGTCCAGGGTCCCTCTCCAGCTCTGTCTGAACCTCTCTAGGTGTTGGAAGGTCTCCCCAAAGCCTCCTCTTCTCCAGCTCCCCTGCTGCCACCCCCATGTGAGAGTTCAGAGGGAATTGGTGATGAAGCCCAGTTTTTCCAAAGCTCGGAGCGAGGCTCGCGCAGCGCACGCTCGCAGCTCCTGACAAAACAAGGACATCACCTCCTGAAAGAGGAGTATACAGTGAGAGGTAACGAAAACCAGCAAGTGCAAAGGGAGAAGGAGCACCAGAGAGCTCATAAATGTCAAGGGCAGGTGTGTGAATGGGGTGTAGAGCTGGCTGTGCCTTCAGATGGCTGCGAGAACGGCTCAGCAGCAGGAGCAGAGGGGAATTTGGGATGCAGCCACTCCCAGCCCTCATTCCTTGTGACAGGTACAGAGCACTCAGTATGTCAGAGCAGAAGCATCTCATGTTCTACACATCCACACCCGTTCTTAGAAATCACTCCCTGGCCTCAGCAATCGGTTTCTGTGCAGAGAGGAAGCGAGACTGCCAAGGAGCAAGCGTGGCACGGAGCTGAGAGCGGCTCCTGCAGCCCCACACAATCCTTCCCACTCCTCTGCCCTTTCCCAACCCCACTGTGCCCCAATGTGCCAGCAGTGTAATCCTCTTCCCAGATAATCCTCCCAAAAAGCTGCATCTGCAGGATCCGGTGCCATCAGCTGAGTGTGGAAAACCATCCCTGCAACCCACTGACCTCAGGAATACCATAATAATTCACATTTATTGTTTGTACACCATTTGTATCTATTTGGATGAAAGCAATTTAACCTGCTGCTACAGCACACATCCTTACACATGTAAGGATGACATGCTGGATATAGGAAGGAACTTCCATTCTCTACCATGAAAATTCAGTTTTCTAAGCTTGGCAGCATTAGGAAATCCAACACTGACCTGATCCAGGTATTTCTGACAATGCTGTTACACAAAGTTGCTTCAGAAAGAGATTCCAGTTACTGAATTAATTAATTACAGTTATTGGACTCAGCATCAAGTGTCTTCCAGGATGGTTAAAATCATGGAATATCCTGAGCAGGAAGGACCCATCAGAATCATTGAGTCCAACTCCTACCACTGTGCAGAACAACCCAAGGATCCTGGACTGTGCTGGAGAGTGTTGTCCAAAAACTTCTCAAACTCAGACAGGCTTGGTGCTGTGACCAGCTCGTCCTGCTTTTGGTTGGGAGAGAGTTAATTCTTGGGAAAGAGTTAATTTTCTCCCCAGTAGCTGGTACAGTGTTTTGGATTTAGGATGGGAGTAATGGTTAGCTCGGTGCATTTAAACACAGCAATAAATTTTATGGGACCGAGTCAGGAAGTTGGCATGAGCAAATGTGCTGTCAATATTTTCATGGTCAATTTATTCCTTCATTCACAAGGCTGACAGATTCCAAACTCAGCTTTGGATGGTGCTAAGTGCAGGAAAATCACAGAATTTCACAGATGAGGGAGACCATGTGAGATTAAGTTGGAGAAAGATGATCTTTAAGGTCCCTTCTAACCCAAACCAGTGATTCTATGGGAAAAATCCACCTATTTCTTTTATTAAAATGAGGAGTACAAGGCTGCAATCTGAGAGGGTATTTCTGGAAGAACACTGATGAAAAAGTGCTCTGGGAATTCAGATTATGACAGCAGTTTTGTTAATAGGGAATATTAATGGTATAAAAATATTACACACGAAAATGCTCAAGATCAAGGGTTGGCAAAGGTGGCCCACAGTTCCAGGAGCCCTCCATCCCTCATTAAAATTATTAAAATAAAAGGATGGCAGGTATTAGTTGGCTAGACAGCCCCAAATCCCACTGGCTGCTAATCCACCTGAAACCCAAGTGTATCAAGGCAAATTAAAGCTGCCTTTAATCCATGCAAATCTCAGCCCAGAAATCCTTTATTCTCTTACCTCCTGCCACGAGTTTAGCCCTGCCCTGTACCCCATTCATGCTGCCAGAGCAAAACAACACAAAGCTCCCTATTTTAGTAATAGAAAGGAAGAATTTTGGACCTTTCACACATTTTGGGATGGATGCAGCTTTGTGTTTCATTGGCTGGGTGAGACCAAACCCTGCTCCACCTGTGCTTGGTTTAATCATATGTATAGACACACATAAATTAGGGCAATTTGTGCATAAATTAGGCAGCATCATTATGCTAATTGGGCTGGTATGATTGTGCTGAGAGTGTTTGCAATCTGCCACAGTCCTCTGGGACAGCGCTGCGAGGGAGCTGCTGCCTCCAAAAAGGCTGGAGCTCCTTGGGGATCCCACTGGGGCAGGCAAAGCCCCACAGCGACCCAAAACAAACCTGAATAACTGAGGGGAAGGGGTGAGGAGAGCTGGTGTGATCTGCTTCCTCTGGAATGCTGGTTTCTGTTCTCTGGGTCCTAAATATCACATCCTAAGCTCCCCCTGATCCATGAAACAGGTCGAGTTATAGGTGGCTGCTGAGAGAGGCT